AAGGTGCTATATATGTATATTCCAAAGTTGCCTAAACCAGAAAATTAACACCAGTTATTGGCTTCAGTATTTAATATTTGACAATAGGTAAGCTTGACGATAGAGCTCCAGATTCGGAAAATGGAATCCTCCCTCATTAATTGGTAATTGCATTTAATTGGTAAAGATATTCTCAGAACAGTCTCAGAAGATTTTAAGAGTTTCAGAAATGTACTTATTTATGTCTTGAATTTAGGGGAGCTACGGGGACACTATTTTATTTATTATTTATTTTCAAATTTATGTATGCCTCCCATCTCACTGTACAAGTGACTCTTGGACGCTCTGACACCTACGGACTCTCTGTGGCTTAACCTGGTTGTATGTAAGGCCTGGAAAGGAGTGGAAGAAATCAATAATGAAAGTCATAAATTCTTTCATAGGGTTTTTGTTTTTTTTTTTGGAGGGGAGATGGGAGGGTGGGATGTTAAAGTATTGAGAAATTTTAAAAAATCCATGAATACTGATGTCCTTAGGAAACTAACAGATGTCAATTTCATTCTTTCATTTTTAAACTTAAAATAGCTTTCATGACAGGCACATAAAGAAAAAAGAATGCTATGGTCTCAAATGTTCCAGTTAAAGAGACGCTGTAGTAGCATGTCCAATTTTTGCCAGCAAGCTAAAATACTGATGAGACAATTTCAGAATAATGGCTATTCTATTAGACAGGCTACGTATGAAGTTGAAAGAATGGAAAAGAGTAAACTTTGAAATGTAAAGTTGAATAAAAGAGAAGAGAGGAAAATCAACAGAGATGTTGCTCACATTTGAAGGGAGAGATAATGTGGTATAGTGGTTAAGTATTGGATGGGCACCAGAGAGACACATGCTCCAGTCCGTCTCAGGATTGGAAATTTGCTGGGTGACTTTGGGCAAGTTACTCTCATTCAGCCTAATTGCTTATAGGGTTGCTGTTGTGGTGAAAAATAAGAGGAGGGAGTGTTATGTGGTAGGATATAAATCTGTCTATTATTTGTTTGTTACACTCTCTCCTCTTATTTTTATAAGATCAATTCCTTATAAATTGAGGAACCCCAAGGTATAAGGAAAAGCACCTTTCTGTTTTTAAATATGCTTCTGAGATATATATCAGTACATAATACTTCAAGAAAATATACTTTTCCATTATCCAATATCAGCTAATTTAGTGTGTTTTTTTTAAAGGGTCAGCTTTCTCTATAATCACTGTAATGTGTGCAATAATTCTGATACTTTGCTGTTGATAAAAGTAAATATATTTTGAGGGGTAGTTCAGTTAGAATCCAGTCTATGCTGCATAGTGTCTTTGTAACTAGTAATGTTACAAATGAATTGTAACTAGTAATGTTATACATTATGAACATGGTTACATAAGAACCTCTGAGCATAAGACTTGTGTAAGGAATAGAGGACTGAAAGCTCCAACTGTAAACTATTGCATGGACTTGAAAACAATATGAAACTTTGGTTTCTTGATTAAGTTGTTGGACGCGTATAAGCAACATTAAGAAGACAAGAGGCTTACAAATAATGAAGAATTAAGTTCAACTCCTGTATTGTGATCTTTGGAAAATTTCTGATTAGTTATTTGTATATTTAAGAATGTATTGCTTATATTTTACATAGTTTTATTATATTTTAATAATTTTCTTCATAGTTGTGGTTGATTGATTCACTGATTATGTGCTACCAATTTGGTGCTGACTTTTAGTGACCACATAGGTAGATGTTCTCCATGATGATCTGTCCCTAACCTAGTCCTTCACGTCTTCCAACAGTGCACCCACTGCTGCTGCTTGTCCTCTTCTCTTTCCTTCCACTTTTCCCAGCATTAGAGCCGTCCCCAGAGAGGTAGGTCTTTGGGTAATGTGTCATTTGTGCCTGAGTGGGAAATCTGGGTTGATTTGTTTGATGATCCATTTATTTTCTTGGCCGTCCATGGTTTTCTCAGGAGTCTTCTCCCACACCAAATTTCAAACGTGTCAATACTCTTTCTATCCTGCTTCTTCAAAGTCCAACTCTCGCTTCCACAGAGTATCACAGGGAATACCATTACTTGCACTATTCTGACCTTTTGTTCATACTATTGTTTAGTTGAGTGGGGTTTACAAGGCTCAGCAGCGTATTTATTTGTGCATTTATTTAGACAAACACAAAGGCACGTCCCCTATTGAATGTTTTTCAAGCAAGCTTTAATTTGGGATGATTAAATGATTTATTCTGGAATGCAAGTTGTTAATGAACATGTAAGAACCCAAAGCTGTTGGGATTTATAGTTGTTATAAATCAGTTGCAAGGTCATATGGCACCTTAAAACTACTATGTTTGTTATAGCATAATCTTTTATGGTGAATTGTTAACTGGGAACTGGAGAAAGTTTATGGCTCCTAATTAGGGAAGTAGATATGTTCATAATTTGTAATGGGTTTTGAAATTTGTTACATTATTTAAAGTAATTACTTACCGTAAATAGTTGTTTTACCTTCCTTTTTTTTTAAGTGCATGCATAATTGAAAGATGAGTTTGTGTTTTTTAAATATATTATTGATTTTTAATTTGGGGGGAGAAGTGCTGACCTTTTATATTGTCTATATTTCTGAAGAGTGGTTATGCTTAGTTTGATTAGGCTACTGTTAAAGATTTTGTGCCTGAAAAAGGTTTGACTAATGTTGTATAGCTTATAGAACTAAGCTCTCTAGGGAGTTTACTGTTCAGAATGTAACTATCTGAGTAATAAAGGAACCTGTGCAGTGATTAATTGTCTTTTCTTCTTAACACTTAGTTTTACCTTTTTTTTCTAAATCCCTCAGTGAAGCTAATATGGATTTCTGTGATGGTTACCACAGTAGATCCTAAAACTGCCATCAATATTTGGTAGGCACAATATATAAGTATAAATGGCATCACCTTCTTACCACTTCTACTCTTGTCATACTTTTGAACTAAGTGTTACAATCAGGCAATTCATATTGTTAGAAGGTTGGGACATATAGGCATTTTATATATATATATAAGACTTGTGTAAGGAATA